CCCCCGCCCCGAGGCGAGACCCGCGGCCGTGTGTGAGAAGGGGCGCGGGTGAAAACTTGAGAAGCGGCGTGGGGGCTGGCGAAGGACGGTCCCGAACGCGGGTGCTGGGGGGCAGCTCCTCGTCCTCCTCCTCCTCCTCCCTCCCTCCCCGGCCAGGCCCAGACCGCCTCTTGGCTGGTCCGCGTTTAATGTTAACAAACACTTTCTTTAATGCCGGGTGCTTTTTGCGTCTCGCCGCCTGCTCCTGTGCAGAAATTACTCCGTGCGCTCAGCTGATTGCCTTGAAATCACTCGCTATAAGCGATGCGCGCCCGCCCTGCCGGGAACCCAGCGGAGGGGAGAGTGTCAGGGCTGTCCGGGGGGCAGGAGGGCGTTCTTCAGCGGGCCCCCGTTTGGGGCGATGGGTCGGAGCAGCGGGAGCCGCGGTGGGACGTCTCCGGCACCGGGGGACCGGCCACAGCTCGAGGGAGGGCAGGGGAGAGCCTTCCCCGGGGGGGTGTGGAGGCTGAGAAGCCGTCTGCCATTAAGCGTGTTTATCCTGGCGAGTAGGAGACTTGTAAGGTGCCGCTTCGCTTTCTGGGTTCGTAGGCGGGGAGGCTGGTGGGTGTCATGAGGGGAAAAGCTGAGAACGGGCTGCTCCATTTAACTTAATTTATTTTCTCTCTCTCCCTTTTTGTAATAGCTTAAGCAAATATCAGAGGCCATGACGAGCTTGGAAAGCTCAGACCGGTGTGGATGTTCAGCCTGCTGTTTAAAGGCTGGGGATAACGGTTCTAGAAATAGCGTAGACGGCAACATCTTCTAGTGGGAGCTTTTTTTCTTTTCTGAGGAAAAAAGTATGTCGTTGAAATGAGACGTATTCTGCAAATGGAGTGGATGTTGACAACAAAAGTTGTTCGCTAGTATAACTTCTTGTCTCCTAGTGCTTTGGCAGGCTTGCTTATGTCTCAAAGGTATTACTTTTTTTTCCTCGCTTTTAATAGAAAAATTATGTCTGTAAAACATAATTGTATAAGCCGTCATATAAGGCATATATGGTATAACTCCATCAGTCAACAGGCAACTCTTTCACACAGGCTTGTTGTTATTAGCAATTAATAACAGATAATAAAATGGTGTGTAGCTGTTATAGTTGTTGAGGTCGTATTTTTGAAGCCCAGAGATTTTTATGACATATGTTTTCACATCTAAGCATGGGGAAACTTCCTACTAGTTTCAATAAATGCTGCACAGATATTTATCTTGGTGCTGGAAATACCAACGCGATTGGCTTGTTTCTCCAAGCATGCAGGGCCAGGGTGGGGGGGAAGAGAGACAATTCTGAAGAGGTCCTGTCAATCACAGCTTGCTCTCTGAAACTAAGGACCAGGCTTTAGCAGTGCTGCTGCTCTTCCTACTTCAGTGAAGAAGGGGTAAAATTTAAAAAACTTGGTAGAACCAGAGATACCAGAATCCCTTTTTGGGAAAAACAGCTTCAAGAGGGCTAGTGAATTATTCATACGTACGTAAGATCTCTCGAGGTAGAAACTTTTCCATTTGTAACACAAAATCAAGCCCTGGCCAATGCTGGCGATATGTAATAAAGAGGAGGAAAGACAGAGGAGCTGTCAAAGACCACTGACAGAGACATCAGCGAAGTACGGTCCAAGCAGTCCAGTGATCACGTGTGACCAAATTTTGAATTACTGTACAATTTGTGCATTGTGACTCATTTAGGCAGATTATTTAGCTATATTTTGGTAGTTTGGCCCTGACCTAGATGGCTGTGCTGTTCTATAGCTTGTAGTCTGTCCAGGACAGACAAATATATCAACGGCAAAGTGATATTAATGCATTTACTAGAGTGTTGTTTTTTATCCTGTGAGACCACAAGCCCATCGCTAGCCTTGGATTCTAGCTTGCTGCAAAGTGAACTCTGGACAGCCTGGTGATGAAGTGGTAATTTCTTTATCTTTCTCCTATAACTAAAATATCTTGCTTCATTTTTTAAATAGCCGCAGTTTGAAGGTGCTGAGATATTTGTAATGCAGGTGGTGAGGGTTGGAAATTTTTCAGTCTGGTGGAGGAAAGACCATGAAATTGTTTGGACATCACTGCTAGTAAACAAAGGCATCTATTCTCAAAAGCTCTGAGCACGTACTAAGTGCACGGTGTAAGCAAATGCCTGTGTCTCTCTCTGGTGATAATGGCAGTAAATGTAATCTGCTGTGTCTCAAAGCAAATACAACTTTGCCTTCCTGTGGTTGTTTGCGAAAACTGGATTATATCTGCCATTTTGCTGTCATCGATTGCATATTTCTGTTCTTGCAGGCACCCTTAGTCGTGATGAGGTTACTCTTGTGTCAGCTGCAGATTTTGCCCATTCAGGGGATTGTGTTATGTTTGAGATCCCTGGTGAATGCTGTGCTGATTAACTTTGGTCCTAGAAGGGCATTGCATGGTGCAGTGGGACACTCCTGTTAACCTTATCTTGAGAGTTACAACTTGTACTCGCCATAAGTCTATTTTTTTTCTGTTTAGCTCAGCGCTGCCCTCACACAATACAGTGTACTCAGAAAAAAAATCCCCAAGCCTGCTACACATGGAGTCAGAGTAAGTTTAACTGTTTGACCTACAACAGTTCTGTCATCATCAATTGACATGTTCTTCTTTCTTTTCTTGAAATAAAGCTTTTCCCCAGTGTTCTGGCAGTAACACAAGGGTTGCTTGGCAATGAGATCATCTTCAAAGCTAAGGCATTCATGAAACGAATGCCTTTCTGGAAGAAAGTAAGGCAACTTGCATCAGAATTTTTATTATGGTTATGCTGCAACAAGAACTCATCAAGTATTTGTATCAAGTATTTATAATTGTTTGAATGACATTTGGCCACAAATGGGTGGATATAGCTCATCATGTCAATACTTTTTTCCTTAAGAAAAGGGAGGAAAGAAGCCATGTGTATTTCAGGAAGTCAAGGAAACATGAAGAGCAGTAAACTTACTAAATGCAACATGACAAACAAGGGTTTTTTGGTTGGTTTTTTTTTCCCCCAAAAAGTCAAAGTGGGTGAACTTCTGTGATTAAAGAGCAGGAAGAAAAGACAGAGATCAAGGAGGACATGGCTGTGGTTGAAGGATGCCATTGCACTGAAGGCAGTCACCTGAAGTCCAGGCTGGAGAAGGGAAATGCCATTGTAGAATCAAAGATTGATACATCTACCAAATCTTTCTGCTACTGGCTGTGCTGGACTTTCTGCCTCACTCTCCCTCGTATATGCATATACTCCTTACCTTCCATTCTTAATGTATCTTTTTATGCTACTGAGATGTAGAAAATGCTTAGGTGAACATATAAGAAATAGGAACGTGGGTAACTACTGCTGAGTTTTTGTGAGATGGTGCTTTTCTGGGCAGCTTCATTCTTGAGATGTATTAGTTATTCTTCACAGAAGGTTTTAGGAACGCTTTTAGGGGGAGGGTAGTTAGAAAATAGGTATGCCCCCATTTGGGCTTTTTACTCATCATTGAGTGCTAGAGGTCATACAGAAACAGGTTAGTGTTAACTAAAGAGAAGGTGATACCATCATTTTAAGAATGTCTTATAAAACTTTGATAGCTGTTCATGGGTACAGCTAATAATATGGAGACGTTTAAAGATTCTGAGATTGGTATTAAATACTGTGATGAAGGAACATGAGACGGGATGGTGGTGTATTTTCATGATGGTATTTATAAAACCTTAAGTTTTTTTATGTGGAATCACATGGCATTTATTGACATCTGTTCAGATTTGTAAAACATAATGCATAAAACCAGTGTTAAACACAGGATAGTACAAAGCTTTGTTCTTTCCTCTGCAGGAGGCCTGTAAGCTGTTTCTATGTCAGAATTAGTAAAATGTCATTTTGGAGTTTTCTGAGTGATGGTAGGTAGGTAGGTTGCTTTCTCACAGCAGGTCCTGAAGGAAGAGCAAAATGTCTATCCTGCACTGAGCAGAAGAAAAGTATGTAAAATCTCTTAGATACTGTCAAGCATCACTAGAAGCCGTATTAGAGCTGACAGCCAATGTCCTGATACAACTGGGGCTCAGCTATGTTTTATGAAGTGAGTTGAAGGGGTCTAGATAATGAATTAGTTGTTTGAATGAAGGTTATGAGAAAAAGCAAGACAGCTACTTTAAGTCTACTGTAGGAGTGGGATCTGGGGGAGGATGTGTGTGTGTGGGTGTTTGGTTGGTTTTTTTCCATGTCACCATTGGACAAAGCTGTACTGCCTAGGGAAGGGACACGGATGCAAGCTCAGAGCAGAAGATACTGCCCAGAAGACCGTGAACAGTGTAACATTTCAAGATGATGAATCACTTTCATGACCTCTTTATAGCAGATAACCATTTTTTTTCTTGATCTTCATACCCCCCATGTTGTTAATAGAGAGGATTCTTGGTGCCGTAGCTTGTCATCTGCTATTTTCATCTATCTTAAGAAAGCTTCGTCAAAACTAGAGAAAAAGGGAGGAAAACACATCTTCTCTTCTGACTTGACTTTAATTCTAGTTTGACAATCTCTTCCTTGACAGCTTTTGCAAACACTACTGGGGAAAAAAAAAAAGTTTACTGAATAATTCAGTCCTGAGAGTGAATTGAGCTTGAGGAGAATTGTTGAATTCCCAAGTCTGTAGGAATCTTTTGTTATTGACTGCTCACATGGATTTAAAGTCCTGTCTCTGTAGTCAGTGCTTTTTATCTCCCCTTCGGATGCCATAATTTTGTCTAGCTTTTCATACCTTAAAGCCAGCTCTCTGATCTTGCGGATAAACATATGAAGAACTGTCAAAGGACCTTCCTGCTACCAAGGGGAGCCATAGCTATCATGCCACACCGAGCTCCTTTCTAGCTGAAGTTCTGCATGTATCTATGCAACTGTAAGTCAGAATTTGACCA